TTGTTCATCAGTCTGCAGAGATCAATCAACTCGTGATTTGAGCGAACTTACCCACTCAGACAACTCGAATAACGCATCTTCTATTTCAAGTTATCAGTTATCAAGCCGCAAGCCGAACAAAAGTAACACTCTATATGATTTTGATTTCATCTTTTATAGCAGTTTGTACATGATTTGGCGTAGGGTCGACCTAGTATATAAACTCTCATGGAGCTATCGAGAGAGAGAGAGAGAGAGAGAGAGAGAGAGAGAGAGAGAGAGAGATTCAAGGAGTAGCGCAGTGGAACCAATGGACTCGTTTTTGTTATACTTTGAAATGATACAATTTGGTTGGTCCAACTCAAGCAGTTTTCGAGAATACTTTAGGCTTTACGTCTTTTAGAAAATTTGCAATTAAATTATTGTGAGCGATTACGATTATGATTTCATACTGCGTTTGAGTATATATAAGAAATTGAGAATGAGTGTATGTGAAGGCGCACTTTCAAAACCTTTTAGCATTCATGAATGCTTGTGTGGTCTTCACAATTCTTGCTGTGCATCCTCTGCTTCAAACATAATTCATATATAGTGATGGCTGCATAACATAGAGTCACTATAGCGGTTAGACTAGTTTTTGTAATGAAAATTTTGCGTAGGAGGGGGGGGGGAGGCTATTAGGGGGCTATTCACAATATGATGGTACTGAATTACATTGGGCTTACGTGATAATGCTGTAAAAATACAGTAAGAAGTCATTTTGACTTGCAGACTTTTCGTTGTTTAATGCGTACAAGGAATTGATCAAAAATCGAAGTGGGCAATCCAAACAAACTGCATGTCATTGGATGCAGCATAAGACACTGACTTCAAATCTATTTTCCTTATCTGCTAAACGCATTTGTGGACAAAGCTATGAGTAGTTTTAGTGCGAGAAAAGTACACATAAACTGCAAAATTGAGCGCGTTATTGCACGTTAAGCTCACCACCATGTATGGGTTGCATGAAGCAACCTGGCCCAGTATTTAGCCACTTTGCATGAATTCATGGCTTTAACGACTTAGAGCTTCGTCTTCAAAACTATTCAGCAGAAATGGAAGAGATATTTAGACTTGGAATTTTATGCTGCATCAAACGGTATGCAGCTTAATCGGCACTTCGACTTCGGGCCAACTTTTTTTTTAAATTACGGTAGTCTTGTTTACTGCTGCGTTGAATCAAAGTAGGGATCTAGCGAGAAGAGCTAATGTCAACACTTCGCGCAAGGCAGTTTCATCAGATTTGCCTAAATCATTACTAATATAGGTGGGCTGTGAAATGCATTAGATTGTGGCAAACTGTTCTTTATGTCTTTTTGGAAAGTACATTCTGAGTTGCGACCACACAAGCACCCTTAATTTTAGCAACCTTCTGTGGTCGTATTCATCATTGCTACCTTGAGGTAAAATGAACCTTGAGGTAGGATTATCACTCAAAACCCGTATTCATCAATGTACCTTGAGGTAAATGCTCAAGGTTAGATCAACCTCGAAAATGATTTCATGTGGAATGGATGATACCTTGAGGTGAATTCTACCTCAAGGTAGCCTTATCAGCGATAAATCCGTATTCATCAAACTTGATGCCTTTACCTCAAGGTACATTCACAACAGAAATTTTTACCCTAGCAAAAGGCAAGGTTAGGAGTGATACCTTCAGAAATCTACAAGGTTTTAGAGGCCGATTTCATAAGAATACTGCAGTGACAAAACTGAACCCATTGCAGTAATTTTGTCTAATTTCGTTGAGATTAGCTAGAGTTATAGGCATGTAAAGAAATTAGCACTACATTTCTCTTCAAACCTATGGGTTTGTTGTGAGTGTTGTAAAAGTCCTGCGAAACTGAAGTATCGAACCAAAGAAAGTCAGACACATCCTTTGTTTGCTCCAACAGCATTTTTAGCATCATAGATCCTATCAAACAGTATTTTGAGCATAGCACACTGAAAGCACAAGCTAAAAATTGTATGACCCAAATACAATCGCTTTGTAAGCTCTGTATTCAAGAAAAGCCAGTGTTGACGTTCGTGTAACGCATTTCTTTAGTCTTGTTCAGCTGCTTAACTCAAATTCATTTGAAGTAGGCATCAGGTAGGTATCGCAGCAGAGAATTTTGTAAACTGTACCTGGAAGCATATATTTTCCCGGAAAGAGTCTTAAAACCTAGAATTGTTCAATATGTGGACCCTATCCCCTCCAATTCACCAACTGTACCCTTTCACACTCTAAAGACATAAGTACCCTCGCGTAAATCCCAAGCAGATGTGAAAAAAAGCAATTCACCGCAAGTGCGCCATGCCCTTCTCTGAGAAAACGTCAGTGTTTATCATGCTGGCACAGCTTATTTTAACCTTGAAAGATAAATTTTTGATGAATACGAAATTATACCTTGAGGTAGATTCTACCTTGAGGTAGCTTCTCAAGGTATCTTATATTGAAGTAGGGTTCATTCTAATCTCACCACTGCTGCCGAAGCAGCTAGTAAAGTAAGTGCGAAAAACTCATACATTCTTCATATCTCTGGCTCTAAAAACCCATGAGCCACGGAAAATCATGCAGAGAATGTGCCAACTCTGCTCAGCCGCTATGGTGCAGCCCACCGCGGCCTTTGGGTGCAATTGCACTAAAACACAGTCGAACCACGATCCTCCATAGGGCGGCTGACCCTGGATCATAAGTTTACTATAATTTTTCTTCCCCTGTCAGCCCACAATTTGTAAATCGCAGTATTAATTAAGGGCCACAGCTTGTCCGCTTCCAGCGCCTGAGCTGGCACGTTTGTGCCATTATTCCAAAATCGTTAATTTTGAATTCGGTATAGCTCATTTTGGTAGATAATCCTCAGAATTTTGCTTTCGCTGAAAGAGAAAGATCATGACGTCCACGCAGCGTCTCACTCAGTTTGTAACAATTCTCTATGTTCCCTAAATACTTCCCTACTCTTATTCATACTTCTCTTTTAGCTAAGATACAGCTCTAGTACGTCAGAACACCATCTAAGAATCCGGGATATTGTTTTGATAAAACTTTCCCGCAAGGATTACGAGATTGGAGAGCTACTGGAATTACATTTGTGATCAGCAAAATGGAAAAAACCCCTTAACAAATTTTTAAGCAACTTTGAAATTTTGAGCCATCTCACGTTTCGAAAAATTTTTACTGTATGAAATTGACATTCTTTTCGTGGCATACCATTAACCCCCGAGGCAGTACAGTCGTCTATTCTGTGATTTTGATACCGTACAATAAACCAGTGGCCCAATGGAGGAGAGAGGATAGTCTGAAAATTTTTAAAACTTACTTACATGAGTTGTGAGAATTTGCAAGTGGGTTGTTTGCGCTTGTAAGTAATTCCAATTATTTTTCGATTTTTTTTTGGTACACTTCAAGTTAGTCTTATAAAAGAATATCTTCGGCGGAAAACCGCAAAGAGACCGCAAATATCTTAGGGAAACAATATTTTTTCGGAATGCATGACTAGCATTGTCTCTGGACTCACGCGCATGCAACTTAAAAATCCTTCCCAACAACCCTAATTGTGCGCCCAAGTCATATCATCGCGTATTATGTTGACTTGGTAATCGAGCTGATTAGAAGAAAATTCGGCACGGAGTCTAATGTAGTATCTTTGCAAATTTCAAAGGTTAATACCTTGTTAGGATTCGGAATACCAACGACGCCGGTGCGTTTGAGGAAGAAAGCGCGCTGGTGGGATTAAGGGGGAAATCGTAGAATAGTGGCAAAGGCTAACTCGTTTCAAGAATGCCCATTTGCCACTTTCATGTTGGGCTCCTCTTCCCGTTTATTATCATTGAGGCAGCTAGCGGTTGGCGCTTGAGGTTGAAACATTTCGGATAATTCCAGTTACAAGCGCCTCTTCGGAGACATTCTTACAGATAACTTATTGTTAGAAGAACACAGATTATGGCGTCAAAGATGTATGGTCTTTAAAATAATTTGCTAAAGACGACATTGATATCCCTTTCAAGATTGTCAGGGTGTGATTACCTAATGGTTCTGTTTGTTTTTCTCGTCCGCTCCTCGAGCGGCGCAACATATGCAAAACGAGCATTACGCTGCGACGGTCCTAAAGTGTATATACCCAAGAACAAAAGTAGAAAAAAGAGATTAACAACAAGGAAGTTTTTACACACCGCTGAGAGTTATGGTACGCCTTGAATGAGCACCACCGCACATCATGAAAGCTGAAGTAGAATTAACCTTGAGGTACTTTGATGAATACGAAACGGCCTTAAGGTAAAGTGTACCTTGAGGTACATTTTACCTCAAAGTTCATTTTACCTCGGGTAGCAATGATGAATACGGCCTCTGAACATTTCTCCGCACTCGTTGACTCCCATACACTTCCATAACACGTTCGAAGTTAATATCAAACTGTGGTTACTTCCACCAAACCCTTTACATGAATACTAGAAAAATTGAAGGCTATGACCTCTTTGATTTGATAGCCTTCAAAATTCTTGATCTTCAGCAAGCAAATGAGCTGCTTTGACCTGTGTCAAGAACTTTTTTGTACAGTGTTTACTATGCAAGGCGAGACCACATCATTGACTATTGATCAATTGTTTGCCTTTCTTATCATATGAATCCAGGATGAACTCAGTCTTCTTTATCTTGTGCTAGGTAAGCGCTTTAGTGCAGTGTTAATAAAACAAACATTAGATTTACGATTATACGCATGTAAAGCATGAAGGAGCATTCTCAGGTTCCCACGTACAGTCTGAGATCGTTTTAAGCGTCTAACCATGGCGCAAGAAGGCGCTAAGACGTTTAGTGTTCCAGTGAAGATTTTTAGTGGACTATTGAGGTTACCTTCTATCGCCCAGTAACCGTAGATGCACTGATTTACGCTGTTCCACACTGAACCATTTAACTATTTCAAAATTTTATTCTTTTGCGAGCACGAAGCATGCATGTGGTGTTTACAATAGATACAGTATGTACAAAATGTGTTATATAGCTAGGCTGCTATTGTGACGTGTCTTTTGAGCCATGCGGAGTCATCTGTAGCATGAAGACCCGACTTAGCAGTGATCACAGGAGCCAAGCCAGTAACAGCGGCATGCGTTCGATGTGCTCTTGCTTCCGGCTTTGCTGTGGAGGGTCTACGAGTAAGTCTACCGACCCAGCCTGTTCGATGTGCCTTGGCATCAAGTTCGCTCGTGGATGGCTTGCGTGTAAATCTGCTTCCCAGGGTTCGATGTGCCTTGGCATCAGGTTCGCTCGTGGATGGCTTGCGGGTAAATCTGCCTCCCGGGGTTCGATGTGCCTTAGCATTCGGTTTACCTGTGAGCAGGATGGCTGCTTTCTTAGCAGCTGGTGTCACTCCGTCTGCGTTACCGGTAACTTTCCCGGCATCAGCAGAAGTGGAAGTTTTGCCTGTAGGCAGTGGATGAGCAGTGCGGCGACGATGATGCTTGTCTAGATCCTAAAATCATAAAATTTATTACGAGCCTGTCAGATAAGGAACTGACCTTTTGTGTGATATGAGCCTTGCTGTTGTCGGTAACACCTGCACCATGAACGAGCAGGGGGATGTTGCTGCTCTGCTCGGGAAGTCCTCGAGTGATTCTGTTTTTCGGAGTTCGATGGAATCCAGCAGCTGGTGTCACGACTTCAATGTTACCAGTGGCTTTGTCAACTTTGGCAGAAGCGGTAATGCTTTGTTCGGTTGTAAGCAGTGGACGGTGTGTGCGGCGATGATTGTGACGGAAGAAGTTCTGGAACTGGGGAGTGAATCATGAGTCCACTTGAAGTTGGGGTAAACTCACTCTATTTTGAGCTGGATCCTTATTGCTTGTAGCGTGGGGATTGTAAGAATTTGCGAGAGCAAGAGCTGCGAAGGAAAGGACAAGAAGAGACGTAGATCTCATGTTGAGCCGTTGTTGAAAGGAGACTCCCGTTTTTATACGGGCTTTCCGGATTCTTATCAGTGTTCTTGATGCGATGCTCACTAAAAAATGACAACATGTTGTTTGCAGTTTCGGTATCTCCGTAGGAGTTCACAAACGTCATTTTTTCAATAGAAGTTGACCCAGTAGAGAAATTATGAGGATAAATCCGCATGAGATATGAGTGGAACCTAGACTGAAATGTTCTGCTTTTAGCGCCGTCACGCCTAAGCAATAAGTTTACTGGCGATCTTGCTTTGCTAAACAAAACTATTTTCTACTGACAAAATGCAGTGTATACGAGATTACTGGTGGTAAGATTGCTACTTCCCCTTCGATGGCATAATTTTTCAAGTCGAAAATGAAGGGTGATGCTTTGCTGGGAATACCCCTTCGATCTTTGAACACTAAGCATGAGTCATAGAGATAACGGAACACATGTAAGAGAACCTATACAGTACAGACAATTCGGTCAACACTTTAATTGCTAAAATCAGAGATCACTGATTTCGTACAGTTGCAGCAAAAATATAATCCAGATGTTAAAAGTTTTTTGTTCATTAAAGAAAACTTTATACGTCTCCCTTGAGAGAAAAAGCGGCTAGAAATGCTTTCAAATATGCAGCTTTGAGCATTACGCACTATATCCTCACTAACAAGGGAGGTCCTATTAGTCGAAGTGGCCTTTCCAAATAAGTCTTATACCACTTTGAAGAGCATCAAACGCTGACTCCAAATCTGTTTTTATCATCTGCCGAGCGCGTCTCCATTCCGAGTTATGAATATTTTTTGGTGCGAAAAATGAAGTATTACCCACGCAAAATCAAATTTTACGGTCTTTTCAGCGCTTCAGTAAAGCAGCGTTAAGTATAAATATTTCGGACAGATGGTGTTGTTCAGATGGAGTGCTCTGATAATCAACATTGGACCATTTGAGCAATTCTGACGAATTTTGTGCTAATTACAATTCAATTTTCCAATTCAAAAATGCTCAATAACTCGATGTCCAGAGGGGCTCGGCAGATAACAAAGACAGATTTGAATCAGCATTTGATATTCTTTATAGTCATATCAATTTCATATGAAAAATCCACTTCGACCATTTGGACTTCCCTTGTAAGATACCATAAAATTACTTTTCACTTTACGTTAGCCAAATGTCCTGCAAAGCGTACTGATGTTGAATCTTTTCGGTGTAATGACTACAGTTTTGACATTCATGCCGCGAATTGCGTAATCATCGATGTTTTTTGCTGCGAAAATTCAATCAGCAGCTGAGCTACTGCCTTTCGTACTGTTTCCCATTTTGTAATTTATATTTTCAACCATAAAGTAAGTCGAAATTAGCAAATGGAATTTTTCAAGCGAGGAATTGCTCGCTTGAAAAATTCCATTTGAGTTAGATTTTCGTTCGTTTTTTTATGCCGCTATCGGTTTGCTTTCATCTTGTGCTGACGTTTGTAAATGCAAAAATTCCTATAAGATGAAATTTTTTTTCTGTGTTGATTGTGATGCCAGAAATTACTTTACCACAAGGTTGATTGACTACATATCCAGGTCTAGGATATGGGGATTTTTTGTTTTATAGATTCAACACAATGTAATAGTGATAACAGAATGTAACAGTGATTTGGAGTAGACACGAACATCTACTTACCCTACTGAAGAAGTGCAGCATGAAAAAAATTTTCCATCACTGTTTTTGATTAGGTAAATTGTACTGAAAGTCATTTGCAAGTAGCATTAGCCATGCCTTGTTTTTGGCAGGGAGTCTTTGCGTTTTATAGCCATTCAATCAAGCTAGAGTGCGTGCTACTTTTAGTGGTATGGAAATCACCATCCAGACCATATAAAGGGTTGTTTTGCAATTTGGTGCAAGCACTGTTGCTTGGCTTTAGACCAACTTTTCTTACTTGAATTAGCACAATGCTTTCAAGGCCAGCAGGTATTTTTATAAGCTAGTAAAAAGGTTTTAAGTGAAAACGGGCGATGAGGGAGAGAAGGGAGTCTCCTCCCCGACGGTGTCAAGTCCACTTACTCGCTAAGTAAGAAAGAGAAAGTAAACTTCAGGTCGTTTCCTCTGTGTCAAAAACTTGTATGCATGCAAGGATCATGCCACTTTTGAACAGATTTTTTTTTGCTTTTAAAAAAGAACAATAATAGTGATTGAAAAATTTTTATTGCATTCTTCTATCCTATATATGGTCATATATCGTATTTTTCTTTTAAGTTAGGCTAGAGATCCCCCTGCTTGTTGATTTTTTTCAGAAAGTTGGGTAACTAAACCGGCCGCCGAACCGGTAGGACCCAGTAGATGGCATAAAGTTATTGTACTCATCTGATGTTTGGACCAGACACATGAAGGCTTTGAACATTCTCATAATTTTATGATAGAAATTTCAACTTAAAATTATAATTAAAACAAAATAAAATTCAAATTTTCACAAGCCGATTATTCTGTCAAAATCTCTTTTTTTGTATGAAAACTCGCAAAATTGATAGGTGATAGTAATAGTTTCATTTTATGATCGTTTATATAAACTGTACTCTGTTCGTAAAGGTCAATGACAGCTCTAAAGAGCTTATCTGCTCTTCATTTCTCATTCCATTCCATTCCATACTATTATCAGATTAACACTTCTGCACCATTCATGCATCGTCGAGTCAGTTGTAACTAAATATGTGCATATTGCACAACATGCGCGCTACTTGACGGCTTGTAAGACTAGATGTGATCATGTTCAGTGATTTCTCCTTGTTTACTTGTCTCTCCCGGTTTGATTAGATATGTATTAAATAGTAGTACACATTTCTACAGTCTATTGCGCTAGAAAAGGATTTACTGGATTTACGAGTAAAGTGTCGTCGACTGCTGCGCATAGTGTGCATTCTCACATATTGACTTACAAATGACTTGACGATACATACGTGTATCCCTGGACTTCAAATTCAAGTTTATTCTCAACCTTCCAATTTCAGAAAATCATTCTACTAAAAAGTACAAATAATCTACTCACATGAATGAGAAACGAACGGTACGCCGTCGTCTCGTTCTACCGCCAACCAAGAAAACCGAAGACCGAGGGCGTCTGACGAGTGCTCCGTCGTCAGCAGATCCACCAAAGAAATCCACAAGGTAGATTTTTTCAACACAAATGTTGATGAGTGGATGCAAAATAAATTCTTAGGTTAACTACCCTTCCGCTTCGACGGCGTACAGCATCAGCATCAGTACAACGAACAGCTCTAGCAGACCAAAAAGCTGGGACATTATGCAAATACAGTAACCTGTGTACTGTAGCCAATGCTCCGGTATGGAAATTATTGAATTTTTTACTTGTTTTTTGGATTGTCTCTTTTCACTCTCAACCTTACTCTTGTTTTTCATCCTCTCTGTGTTAGTCATCGAATTTCTTGCATTTCCTAATTCGATGAACCGGCGAGCTAATCGCTAATTTTATCAAAACTGGGTCAACGACACATTCTAAGTAAATGTGCAAGAACGAGATATTGAAGGACAAATTACACTCGTAGGTGAAAAAGAGACCTAGATTAAAGTCATTGTCTTGTATTATTATTCAACAGGCTATTGACCCAACTGTGGAAAAACGAAGGCATTTGCCTCATTCAGATTTTCTTTCCTTTTTTTAGGTTACTCGAACAAGAAACCATTTACCATTCGCAGTTTCTTCTTGATTCTTATAGGCGAGACTTCCTCTAAGGCCAATTTCTTTTCTTCAAATGAGCATTGAGAGCCAATATCTCTGCCATTACTTTTATAGCAAAATTTTGTGATTTCCAACTTTTAGTTCTTTCCTTAATCTCATATCTCCCATTTTTATGTGCATGTCATTATCCATAGGGCACTCACCTAGCTTGTGAGTGACCGTATTTGTCCCTCACATGCAGCGTTGTTACTGTAATTGTGCTAAAACACTATAATAGGAAACCATCTCTTTTTTTTTCAAGCTATATTTTATGTTTTTATCAATTTTTGCATTATGCATACGTTAAACTCATTCTGTTATTCCATTATCAAGTTCGGAAAATTCTACAAATAAAAACTTTCTATTTTTTGCCTGAAAATTGGCAGAATTTCCTGCTTACCTCTTCAGTCATACACAATGGATTTATATGTTTTATTCATTTTCATATAAAATAATCAAGTAAGCTTGTATTTGCGGTTCTTTTTTCCTGTAATTTCCATGATATATCTCTCTCTTCCCATCCCTATCCATCTCCTTTCGTCCTCATTATTATGTTGTTATTCTCTGTTGATTCGGATAGCCACGCGCCGTACGGACGTATGGATATTCTATCATTGAGTACCTCTCAATCCGCGCATGTCATTGGGATTACGGTAATCTTCTTATAATGCGCATTGTTACTATAAAGTTGCGAACTGGTTAGACTCATAAATAGACGGTGGAACTTTCGGTTCGGGGCGGAACGGGAGACACAGATTGGGGGAAGGAGGGGGGGGGGGGAGGATACGATTTTGTGACCAAAGTCAATTTTGAATCATGTAAGTTTCGAACTCGTCTCAAATTAGTGAACGACTTGATGATCGAGTTGAAATCCTTTGCAAAAGAATCCGACGCTGACCAGTCGCGCGAAATTCAAATTTACCATAACCACACTATGAAATTCTATTTTGCTTTTTATTTTTCGTACAATTTCATTTTCTCTGGAAAACGATTACCAATTTCTTACGCGTCCCTACCTCCACCCCTCGAGACGAATGACAGCCACCAACAACCTGAGTACTCCGATTGTATTCGCCTATAAATAGTACGTCTCAATTACGAGCACTGGCACGCGATTGAAGGTCGAGCATCGGGTCGGACGGCGTTATAAAAACATTATGTTCATCAAACTGGGCCTTTTTCAATGACAGAAGGTATTGTAGATTTGAAAAAGAGGAAATGGTATGGGTCTCTGGAGAATTCCGGGAATATTTGCTGAAAATTCTTGATGTTGTTCTCGGGCCTGGAATCCTGCTTTTTTAAAATTCAACCTTACTCACCCTTCAAAGGGCAATTTGCGATCCCTAACGGTCTTCTTTTTTTACGGCGGTTTTCTTTTCAACTGGCTGACCTTGCATAAAACGTTCGTAAGCTAATTATTTTCTCCGGAGAGCACTTACTATCTCAGCCTTCTCCCTACAACCTTGAAATTCGAATCTTTTCGCACTTTGTGAGGAAACCACGTCATGAAATCTAGTGTAATGACAGCCTTTTTCGCAAATGGCTATACGTCTGTTGTAGTGAAGTCGTTGAGAATCTACGCCAGTACGCTTGACGGATAAGTGTTCCCTTGAGTAAATCTCAGCGTGTACAAGTGAAGTCGGCGTAATGTGAGAGAATTGAGATTAGCAATGTTTGTCTGGGAGGGTGCTTTTTGTAGTAAAACTGGGTTTAAGAGAACGGCATGAACAACATATTCAAGTATCTACTTATCATGTTTTATTACTTGCTTATTCATTTGAGCTGGAACCAAAAAAAAGTAGAGGTCCTTACCATGCAATTTCAATGTCGTTTTTGTGATCAGCATATCAGATAGCCCCCCTATGCCAAGCTTCAATCAAATCTGTAGAATTTTACGATTTTTCCCTTGATACCGTACACCTACCGTAACCCTCACTGCAACGACAGAATCTGGCAGAGCAGCGGAGTTGCATAACTTAGTTTAACCTAAAATTATTACCTTATCGCCATCACTGCAGAGCACATAAATATTAAGTACACTTGGATCTTTATTTGGTATGTTTATCGCACTTTAATTATTTTGTGTGGTTTACAATATCTGAAAACAATTTTAATTATAGTAAGTAAAGGATTTTGTTGTTACATGTATGTTTATACGCATTCTGTATGCTTGTTATTTACCATATAGGCTTCACCTCACCAAATTTGGCCTGAAGAAACAGTACCGTATGACTTCTTGGTAATCTAGGTTTGAAGCTTTAACCGTAATCAAAAGTAGTCTTTTTGGAGCAGTAGCATAGATTTTCCCTTGGCTTAGTAAGACACCAAAAGGCGAGAGAGAGGGACGGAAGCAATTTTAGAGTCTCATGACTTCTTTCCTTTCTTATTTCGCGTCAGTGCTTTTGGTATATGTCATAACATAAAACATCAATAGCTAAAGACTTTTAAGCACCTTGACAAATTGCTTTCATTTGTGTTATAGTCGTTCCAGACATATGAAAAACCATGTATGTGCTAATGCGCATTCCAAAACTTCGCATGTGTCCTTTTTCTCGAAAGCCAGGCAAAACTTCATGATTACCAAAAGTTCAAACTATGGATTGAGAAAGTTATGCATAATGTAGAGGAAAAGAGTAAATGTAATGTATGAAAGGGAATTAGGAAGTAAATAAAGAATAGAGGAAGTAAATAGTAGAAATATAATCAGTTCATAAACATTTGTGCGATTGACGTGTTTTTTGTAAATCGTCAAATCATGTGAAATCAAAAGTCTTTCCCACTTCTTGTAAATCTAAAAATTTTGAGCGCAGTGGATTTTGCGGACCCCATATACGCAAAAATAGTATCTTTGAATTTTTTTGGTTTCTAGCTGCCTTCAACTTATCTTTACACTTTAATGAGCTACTTTCGCAGTAAAAACACCAATCAAATTCTAGAGTCTAAAAAAATTTTTCTGAAGTGATTATCTTGATTTTCTACCTATTTATCCTTTCTCCCATTTCCATCCATTCCCATTTCTTTCATCAAACATTCCAGTCCATTTTTTGTCAATGGCGCCACTTTGGTGCTTTCTTTCGCGAACTGCTGCAGATTTGCGTGCTTATCATCTTTTTTTGCAAATTTTTTACTCTTCGCTTGAGATTCCATAATATGATCTCGAAACAAAGAAAAATCATTTGCAAAGCTCCGATGGACGATGCAAGAGATGGAATTGTTCCAAGAATGCCATGCCAAGATTTTTGCCGCAATTCCTTGAAATTTTGATTGAAAGGTCTCTCTAATTTCATATGCCCGGAATTTGACCCTTTACCCAAAGAAATCCCTCACAATGGATCATGTCAATCAAGCTTCAAACAATGAAAGTTTTTCTCTTGCATGTTTCGCATTCTATCACTAATCGACGGCCTTGCGCGGTGAACTCGACATTGCGGTGTTTTTTCATCTCGATGAGAGATTCATGGGGATGAATACCAGAGGGTGTTCAGAATTAATTAGACAATCCAGCAAGACCCATATGATCTAAAGTCTTCATGTTCATTTTGAAAAAACTATGCTTACTTTTACGTGATAAAAATGCAGTTGTTTAAGAATGAATAATGGCAGTGCCTTTTCTAACACCAATTGCTTCGTGCGTGCTATTTTTAAGATTTTTGAGCATTGCTGAACAGGGCTCGGCACGAGGTGGCTAGTTGAAAATGCAAAAAACGAAGTCCCTCTTGACTTCGCCACAAAAGTACGACATCCTCCTTAACATGAAAGCAAAAAGAATGAAACAGAATACAAATACCGACCAATAAATAAGCAAGAAAAGCCAGTGATTGTTTGTGTTCTCCGGGTTGGCGGCTGTGCCGTGTCCGCCGCGCACCAACGCGAGCTTGGAGCAGCTTTGCCGCTGCCATCCAGATGATTTGGAGGGCTATAACTAGGCGGAGAGGAGAGGGTTTGGGGAGGTACAAGAGCTGTTTTGTAGAGTATCAGATGTAAATTACTTTTATGTAAAAAATTTAGAAAAATTATGTGAAGATTAGGAATTATATGACTTTGTTTGTGCTAAGCCACCTCAGGTGGCTATCCAGGTGGCTTGAAAGCCACCTAACCCCGAAAAAAGTTTGCCATGCCCTTAGTTCACATAATATTTTCATAATTTTTCATACATAGTCCCAAGTCCCCGTTGCCCATCTACACACCTATTTTGGTGCCATTTCATCTTCATTTCGCTGTAAACAAACCCTTTGTTTATTTGCTGGCGGCATGCCGGCAGCGTGCCGGCAGCAGATCGAAAGACAGCGTTATGCTCTTCCGCAAAAACGATATCCCCTCTGCTTTTTCTCCCAAAAACGATATCCAGCTTGCTTTGCAAGCCACCTGTGCCGAGCCCTGTTGCTGAAATCCTTTTGATTAGATAAAGATGAAGTTTGACTAGAGATCATGTTCAGGGCTAATTCGAGACGCTGTGTTTGCTGCAGGGTATTGAAATTTTCTCTAAATCAAAAAATATTGTAGGAATTCCTCGAAAAGGCTTGGATCTACAATAAATAGTTAACAATTCAAGTATCTCTCGTATCAGACGATGCTTTCAATCTGCTTTATCTTCACCATATGCAA